GCAACTTAGCAGATTAAAAAGACTCTTTTGAAATAGAAGCAGGAGTTGACACTGAGAAGAAAACTCATACCTGATGGAATTAGCACCGTGAGAATGAGCTGTTAACAGGACAACAGAACCCATCCCACACTCTCAACTTTTCCCTTTTCCACTTCCCCATCTTAATTAGCTACATTATTGTGATGGATCTCTGGAGTGAAAAAATACTTATTGCCATGTCCCATTTGGAATATGACTTGTCTTTATTGTCTCTATTATCCTCTTTGTGGCCACACAAAGATTTCAAACCCTATCCAAAGTAATTCTGACACTACTGCAAAATCTTTCAAAACTGATCTGACAGGGGCCTGCAATGCAAGAATGAACTTGTTCTCTCTGCTTCATGTGTCTCAGATCTTTTGGAAGAGCTACGTCTTCCACTCGTGGCTAAATTCGGGCCACTTTCCCAAATTATGAGGTAACAGATACTTTGTTGTCCCATTACAGCTTGGACACAGATTACATATAGAGAAGTGATGTAATCCAAACAAATACTTCCCACAAGTTTAGAAGGGAAGTGGGCCATGCCTCTCCGCCCTGCCCCGTGTGCTGGTCACACAAACCCAGTGGCCAGGCACACGTGTGCCTAACATGAAAAGGTGCTGTGCATTTGCAGTGCCCAGAATGCCCCTTCATGCAGAGGGAGTGCAGCCAGCCTATGCAGTCCCGAGGCCACTTCAGTGTGGGATTTGCACTGGAGGAGTCATTGCAGCCCCACTCATAGTAAATGCCTTTTCCCCCCAAACAATTCTGTGTTCTTCACTCTTAGAATCCCATCTTTCATTCTTTTTACATCAATTTTTCCTAAGCTGAAGGAAAAGAGTTCAAAATGCACATTTGATTACATTTACATTTGAACTAAGCAATTCAGAAAACTGTGTTTAGATCCACAGTTCTGCCCAAGAGATGTGAATCAGGTGAGTTCACTTTTTAAAAGAACTTAACTGAAAAGTCCTGAAGCATCTCTATTGAGAACAGACTGTCAATCTAGCTTAATTCTTTCCCAGTTTGTAAAAAACCAGGATTTGATGTGCACTGCCACTGTTTAGGGTATCAATTAACTTATGCTCTATTGTTTACTAGTTTTCTATATCTCTTGAAACAAACTTTATTTCCGTAGGGATGGGTTGTGCTGTATATTATTGATATTGTGGTTTTAATTGTGTTAATTGTGTTTAATCGTGTTATTAATGTTTTTATGTTGTTGGTTTTTTATTATGTAAACCATCCAGAGAGCCATGTGACTACAAGACAATATACAAAAGTGCTAAATAAATAAATAATTCTGCCAATTTTGGTTTCTTTCCGTTTTCAACTTTTTAAATCTTCAGTTTGTCCTCAACATTGAGATTCTTAAAAGAGTTTACATGAAAATTTCTAAATATTTTTCTGCATATTTCTCCAATTCTATATTCAGTATTGCCTAATAAATTCATTTCAAAGTAATGTCCCTAATATAATGTATTTGTAACATTATTTTCACTAATATATGCATTTGTGCAAAGCATATTTCCCTAATACTCATTGCAAAATTTGCAGAAATGCACATTTTGAACAATAACTGAGTTTCAGTTATGTGTTGGTTCCAAAGTGTAAGTATAAACCATAATTTCCTCCCAGTTCATTCAGTGTGTTCCTTTTTGCAGGTATCGCTTTACCTTACCCTTTCACTTTCTCTCAACTGCTTTGCTAACCTACTACCACCACAATGTCCTTATAGAGACTCGCCTAGCCACATGTTCTCTTAACAGTTGCTCATCTTGGCTGGTTTGAACAAGCATGGGGACAAGACTTGGTCAAGTGCCTCCAAAGCAGAGCCTATTACCCTTGCAGGGGTGATAATGCATCCACTAGCCTATCCTGAGCTCAGAGCTTTATGTTAACTCCTGGCAAGTAGCACATGCTGCCTTTCCAGATAAGGTGCTCAGAATGGTGGTGAGAACTCAGCTCAGGCATTCTTGGAGGAAACGTGCTATCCAGACTCATTCCAATCTGATTTCGCCTGAATTTAGGACACAATCAGCCATGGTTGCCTTGACAGATGACCTTTATTTGAAGAAGGATGGGGGTGTGCCATCTTGTTGATTCTCCTTTATCAGCAGCACTTGATGCCACCAACCATGCTTCACTCGTAGAATAGCATTATGGGTTGGGATAGGAAACACTATTTCAGTGGTTCCACTCTTACCTACAGAGTCAGTGACACAGTTATATTGGGTGATTTTCTGCTGACCCCTGGTTGCAAGTTGGACCATATATTGGACATTTGCACTGTCCCAGTGCTGTCCAAAATCTAGATGAAGCCATTGGGAGTGGTCATGAGACCCAGATGTATGCTGATGACACCCAGCTCTATTTCTCTGTGGCATCTGAGTCAGGTTTGGCTGAGCCAGTCCTAATTAGGTGCCTGGAAACGGTGGATGAGGAAGGGCTTTAAGCTGGGGAGTCCCATGCCTGGGAATTAGGTACGCCCCCTGTTCTGGATGGGGTTGTGCTTTTCATGAAGGCTTAGGTTCATACCCTGGGAGTACTTCCCAAAACATCTTTGTCACTGGAGGCTCAGGCCGACTCAAAGACTAGGAGTGCCTTTTACCAGCTTCAGTTAATATGCTAGTACAACTGTTCCTGGAAAGGAACAGTAAGGCGGTGGCCATCCCAATATTGGATTACTGTAACGAGATCTTTAAGGAGCGTCCTTTAAAATTGGTCTGGAAACTGCAGGCAGTACAGAATTCAGCAGTTAGATTGCTGAGAGGGGCAGCCTATGACGAGCAGATCACATTTAACTCAGCAAACCGCAAAGGCCACCAATGTATGTGCAGGACAACTTCAGTATAAGGCCCAAAACAGTTCTGAATGAGGGTACCTGAGGGAGCCCTCCCTCCCATATCAATTCACCTGTTCACGGAGATCCGGGCCTCCTGGTTGTTCTGTTGCCTGCACACTCGATCAGACTCTGCCCCAGGAAAGGGCCTTCCCTGTTGTGGTGCCTCAACTGCCCAGTTCATTCCCTGCAGCAGCGCTACAGGCACTGCTCCTGGTGTATTTTGGCAGCCTCTTTACCCAGGGATTTGCCAGTGTTATTATCTAGCTTGGTAGACTATTTTTCTTTGCATTTTATTTTGTCATTTTAATTAATCTTGAACACTGCCCTGTGATAATGAGGGCCAGAGGTTTTCTTTTAATTATTTGTTTTGTTCTAAGTAGATATTATGAGTTTTCCATAGATGAATTCTTCCCCAGCTGAGAAAAGGTTTTTTAAGGACTTTTATAGGCTTTTCCTTTTAGATGAGCAAATGGATATCGATGGCAATCCTGTATGAAAATGTTCTAAAATTCTGTCCTAGCCTCCCCAGAATACATTCTGTTGAATAAAGGAACCCTGGCAACCAACTGTAGTTTGAAAACATTCAAGAAAATGAGCATGATATGCAAATTATACTAAATAGCACCTTCAAGCTCAGTATTATTTTTGATGCAGTTATCAGCGCTGAACAAATTTCCTATTCCTTCTATAAACAGCAAGTCTCACTAGCTTCAGTACATCAACACAGTTAATGTTAAAAGTATCATAAGGGAATCAAAGCTGCCTGCTAGAACTGTGAAACAAAAACAGCACATGCACAAAGAAAAACTTATGGAGGAAGTATTACTGGACGCAGCCACAGCAAATGTCGCTTTCGCACTTTTTCAACCGTCACTGATCACTTTTTCTTTACTCCTCGCTGGTGCTGCTCTGTGCTGCAACGTTTTATTTTCTCGAGTCAAGAACAATCAATGCATTCTGCCTCAGGAGAAAGGGTGATCACCGATTCTGTTGGAATTTCAGCATTCAAGTTGGCACTGATTGAAGTTGGTGAGCCACCCAAAATTATTTTGGGTGGCTCAAAGCCTTTCTATTTCAAGGCTCTTCTGTGTAAAATGACAGGAAGCTTCCAAGCATTTTGGAGCCAAACCTCAAAAAGAGCCTGGCAATTCAGCCTGTATGTACTAAAAGGTCCTGATTAAGAACTATTCAGCCTTGGCTGCACATATATCTTTGGTATTTGTATGAAGGCAAGGACGAAGGGCATGTTTGCAAAATCAATTGTGCAGTTTTTATATTTACTGCACTTTTACCACATATGTCATGTATTACACAGTGGAAAACCGTTAAATGCACAGTAGTTGTGCCAAGTGGCATTATGCTTTTAACAGCTTTATTCGTTTAACAGCTCCAGCTCTCATTATATTTTGCCATGTGGTACATGAGATTTTTATTCATTTAACAGTGTAAGAGGGCTCCATGGCCTTTTCCTTTTATGTATTTCATATTGTGCTTGGGCTTTTGCTTTTTTGTGAGCATTAACCCACAGGCTTCACTGAAAGCAAGTGGTACACTGACGGACATGACAAATTCAAAAGGGGAAGGAAGAGAAGAATCAGAAAGGGTTAGATCTTCCACATCTACAAATGCATGTAGTATATTAGTAAAACTTCAATATTTCAGCGAATGCTGATAAGCAAATAGCTTTCACTTTCACCATTTTATTATGCTTCCGTTTTATCTTTTTGCTACAAGGAACACATTCAGATGCTAAGAACCAAATACCAGTGATTAATGCAATCTGTGATCTCTCAGATAACTATTTAAGGAATCAAACAATGTATCTGCCAAGTTTAAAGGATGCCATAATTGCAAGGGTCCTTGCTGTATTGCATAAAGTGGTGGGGGGAATCGTATGTTTTATGGCCCTGCTTCTTTTCCTTTCTTCTTTCAAAAGAAGATGATCTGGTTGTGTGTTTATTAGCCACTCAATTTAAAGGGACAGAAAGAATTAATTCAAGATCTGAAGGAAAAAAGCACAATGGATTCTCCAGAGATTGTTATTGTTGTTACTACTTTTATTGGTGAGAGAAAGGATGGGTCCCATTTCAACGTCAAAGCTTTCTCTACCCTTGAAAAAGAACCCCTGACTCACCTGACTTTTGTTGGCAGCCACTTTGGCAAACAGAGCCTGAGACACCTTGGCCCTTTTCATCTCCTGTTGGATCTCGTCGTAAATGGCAGCTGTGATGTTGATGCTGGCTCCGTCCACCTTAATGGGGAGGTCTGTTGTCGGTGTCGAGGTTTTGGCCTACCGAGAGACCATGAAAATAATAATTTAAAAAGTGCTGCTTTCAGCCCAGCCATCTGTGCAGAAATTATCAAAGGATTTCAGTCAGCTGATGCCAAACTGCATTAGCTACAGAGGGACACTTCCTGTCCATTATTCTAATCAGGTTAATTGTGATTGGAAATAATTGCAGTGCATTCCTATAGGACATACACCGCTTTCCCTCCCTCCCTCCCTCCCTCCCTCCCTCACACACACAAACACAGAACACTCTTTTCTACCCCACACCAACAACACATACAGAAGAAAACTGAAAAATTGAAAGGTTACATGCTAGAGGAATTAAACTCCAAGCAGTTGCTTGATTCAGCTAGTCACCAAATACAATGTATTACTTACATGCCTAGTTGGATTTTTGCTTTTTCTCCCCCTAAAAACAGCATACCTTAGAGGAAGAGCCAATTCTTCCAGAAAAAATGAGTAAATGCATAGAGGTCTCTAAATAATAAATTATTACTCAATTTAATGCACTCCCTCAAGTCTCTCTCATTCTTTATTAAAGCTATACGTACGACATTTGAGTACGTATGGTTTCCCATAATTATGCTGGCTGTACAGTCACCTAATTTCACCTAGGAAATCAGTGGAAATGAAAAAAAAATTAATAACTCCAGGCTTGACAGTGTGTTGATGTGCAGCCCTTGGTCTCCTAAACTCATATCACAGTTCTGTGTATTCCACTGCACTCCTTTTAATTGAATGATTTCCAATCAACTTCCAAGACAATTGAAGGACAATAAACAGATAGTACCAGCACTTCTCCATATGGAATCATCAGAGATGGATCCAGGTGAGGTTAAGGAATGGATGGGGGTGGGGATCCCAGATCTAGAAACCTCCTTAAGACCATCCAGCAGTACCAGCCAGATATATTATTGAAATAATCTTGTAACCTTTGTGCCTAACCATGATCACACTTAAGATTGCAGCTATTCTATCAAAGAGCAGTTTCTGGCACATGCATGTGCAGGGCCATGCATACACACACTGGCAACCAAGGACGCTGAAATCTTGCAAGCTTTCTAGGAAACTGAAGCATACTGAAGCAATGAAAAATATTTTTAGGAGAAACAGTATTGTCATACTGATACCCAAATGCACTTCAGTTTGGGGAGATGCTGTATATTAAGCTCTGTTAAAAGCTCTGTGGGGTGACTCATCTACTGTGAAGGAAAAGAGATTTATAAAGGTCCCTTTAAAAGGGATGTGTACTGTTTTTGTTCTGTGATACTTACACAGCTTATGTTTAAAAATATATGGCTGCTGCTATAAGACATTCTCGGCAAACAAAAGGAAGGGTTTTGTTTGCTTCAAGGGCTTTATTTGTTAGAACCACCTCCTCCCATGTGAACACCTGACTATCTCCTGCATCGGAGGCAAAAGACCCTTGCTGGAAAGATGGTCAGGATGGCACTGTGGCTCCAGCATGCTGCTTGTGGGCTCTTCAGAAGTATTTGATTGGCCGTGGTGTGAACACAAGGCTGGACTAGGTAAGTCTTTGGTCTGATTCAGGATGGCTCTTTTGTTCCTGTGAATTAGCCCAAGCACCAATGTCAGCTTTGGAGAACCTGCACTAAATCACTCCAGGCTTAGAAGTAGACAGGGTAGGCTCGAGGGACAGGCTCCTCCCTACCTGGTAGAGAACAAACTCCGGAGTGGGCTCTGTCACAGCTCACTTTTATGCAGGTAATAAAACATTTCAGCAAGTTTTCTGACTAGAAACTGGAGTTTGATAAAGGGCTTGCTGAGTCCACTTTTCAACTGTTGTTGCTTTTCTATTGTGACAGCAAATGTCTTTCAAGTTGCTGCCTTGTATTTTAATAATGTTTTGGGAGTGGTGTCAATGAAGTTTTGTTGTTCTTTCTTCAAAAATGAGATAGAATTAAGCAAATACACTTTGTTAAAATCATCTTGCTAATAATCTGCCCCCCGACACGCACCCCTGGCATTTGCCAAAATATGAAAAGCAAGAAAAAAATTATACATTCCCATATTCAGCTCAACACTCTTAGACTCCCTTTTAAGTACATCACTTTAGCACATTAGCACTGACCACCTAATACTAAGGACCCATCTCAAAATAGTACTACATCAACCTAGAACTATAAAAGGTAACTAAAAAGACAAGGAACACAATAGAAAAATAGAATATTCACTATATTTCTTGATACACTCAGATTACACACCATATCACAAAATCATATCACAGATTGGTATCTATGGAAACAACAGTTTGTATATAGGATTAACTTTGGCAACAAAAACGAATTTGACTTTCATTTTAATTCATTTCCTCCTGCTTTCTTGAAAGAGCCTAGCATCAAAAGTCTCTTCTTGGTGGCTAGGCTTGGGCAGAAATCACTTATGTGCTTTAAGGTATCTCATCACTCAGAAATTTCCCCGTGCTTCAGTTAAGTTGCATTACCACTATTGACAAATTATGCTACCTTCCTGAGAGTAAAGAAAAATCCTCTCTCACTAGCCAACCCTGGATGCAGTCTGTTGTCTGAACAAATATTAAAATTAACATTGAGGTTCTCATCTGCATACCCCAGTCTCAACCAAAGGACAAGATGCTTTCCTCCCCCTCCACATACAGAAGTTGATGAGGCTGGCAGCTGGATCTTACTTTTACAGCAGGCCATAGGACAGAGCCAGCCCAATGCTGTGTGCCGTGCACAGCTCTGTCTTCACAGAGAGGAGAAGGGCCAGGGGCACCCAGGAAGTACAGTGCTGGTACTGGCAATGCTACTCCCTCACATATACCACCCAAAGGGGCCACTTCACTGTGCCTTCACTGTGGGGCTGGCCCTTCCCCAGGGGTGCCACTTAGGGGAAAGGGCTTCTTCAACTGCAGCATCCAGTCTGTGGCATTCTCCCCCGACTCCAGGCCATGTGTCTTTCCCGCAACTAGCAAATATTATATTTGCCCCACCCTTTCATAAAATTAGCCTCAAACACAAACCATTCTATGGTAAGTAGCTGCTCTTTTCTATATAGCTTGCCTACCCCTTGAGCCCTAGGAGGCAGAAGAATTCTTGTTAATTTCATCTCTTCTTTAAAGCACTGCATTTCTGGTGCGCACAGAGTTGTTTGAACAAAAAAGGAAAAAAAGCACTTGAGGAATGGCTTGTTTTCTTCTCCCTTCTTTTCTGTTAATAGTACCAAAGAGACAGAGAGATTTTAAAAAGCCATTATCAAATGTGCGCCATTCCCTTGAAAAAAAATAGTGGATGTACAGTTAAATATGCACTTTAGAGACAGAACAATATACAAAACATTGAAATACAACTAGCCATATAGCCAGCTTTACAACATATGTGTTTTAAAGTAAAATGATTCTAAGTTGATTTGTACTACTTTGTTCTTATATACAAATGTAAAATTTATTAGTTGCATGTGAAACCAATGAAGTGGACATCAAAACTCTTAAACTAGATGAACATTTCATATCTTATCTATTGATCCATCAGTATATAACTTCTGTTCATCTCTTGTTGACATTCACAATGTATTTATTTTCTGACTACGGGACATTGTGAGGAGGGTTCATAAACCTGCAAGTGGGATAGGCTGGAAGGGACTGTTTACATGACACTGACAAAGGAAATATCCAATAAAGCATTAACAACAACAACAAAGGAAAGGTGAGTAGCAAATCTCTAGTATGTCTCACACATACTGTAATCTCTTTATTTCCCAATTATATTCATTAAAGACGTCGATTGGTTTGGCACATTCATTTACAAACAACAGCAACAACATGTTGGTAAATATCCAGTTTTTCTTTGAGTGCTTCAAGCACTGTACTTACCTGTGGTGGGTATTCTCATACCAGGTCAGTTCTACACATCTTTTCAGACAGAACAGCTATAGCTTCTAAAGTCTGATTCACACGTTACTCTTTGCTAGTACTGGCTGTGGCAAATACTGGAGGAGATGCAACATTCACTCTCCCTCATCCAGGATTATGCATGGAGCAGGGAGAGCACCTGCTACCCCACTTGCACACCTATGGCATGAACACTTAGCTGCATGACTTATGTGAGACCTTTGATGGGCAGATTTGCTTAAGGGCAAGTGGTCCTTTTGGCATCCTTGACTTAGATTGTTTAGTGATGCCTTGCTCCACTTGATGCCATCCGAGCAGTTTGGACATCAAGTCCCAGAAACCCCAGCCTGCATGGCCAATGGCCAAAAATGCTGGGAGTTCTAACACAAATCATGTGGACAACACCAAGTTGGGGCAAGCCGGTTGAGCATTTTATAGAGCAGCAGCAGCAGCTCAAATTGTGCCCAGAAACCAGTCAAATCCTTTAAAAGCAGAAGTAATGTATCCACTCAGGCAAAGCACAATTAATCTGGCTGTTCTGGGCAAGCTGTTTTCTGAATATGTTGGGCTACTAGTTGGTTGCAGTGACACTGATGGATCCTTGGGAAGCACTACTTTAAGTACCACTTTGTGCCTTAGCAATGGGCTTCCTATCAGCTGGGTAAGGAACCAACACAAAATATAGCTCGTAGGGCAACCATGAGGTACGTTCATAACCATGAATGGAAAAGCTCTGGAATATGTAAGGGCTGAGTGTACAAGCATTGCAGTGCTCAGAGGAAGCAGTGACAGTTTAGCTATCTTGGCATATTCAGTGAAGAAATGCATCAACAGCAATTTCCAGCACTGAAAAGTCTGAGGTAGTCTTTGTTTCCATGGAGTTCCATGAGGATAAATCAGTGGCTTATGGAGATCTGGACTGTGGTTATTGTGTGCAACATGCCCTGCATTGGAATTCTTTCATGTAGTTAATTGAATGTTTATTCTTTTTCTTTATATTTGCAGCATTCATCAAAGAATAACTCATTGGTTTCACCAAGGAAGCACTGCTAGAAGACAACATGCCCTTGTTGCAGCATCTTCTGACTCTAGCTTCGAAGACTCACTTGGGCACACGAAACACCAAACGGGAAAATCCTAACAAGTCATCTCAGATGAGGCCTGGCTGTAGGTTTTCTGGACACTGGGTCAATTCTGAAAGCAATTATAACAGGGTTGAACCTTACCTGGGGGGTTCTGGAGGAACTTGGACTGCTGGCAGCTGAAGACACCATGCTCACATTGGGGTTCATACTTCTCTCTCTCTCATCCTGATATATACGATCTCGTTCTGTCTCAGGCAGGTTGAGGAAATTCTGCATTGCCCTCAGATTTACCAGGAGGGACTGGGAAGCTGTTCTAGGGTCTTCTTCTTTACGCAGTATCTCTGATAGCAATCCCTGGTTCAAAAAATTAAAAAAGGCCAAGTCTTTTTAAAAAATTACTTGCTGTAACCAGCCAGGTTGCAATGCCGAGACCCTTCAATAGATGCCAAAGCACAGGGAATATTTTGCAGAAACAAATCTTGCTTTCTAGGGAGTGTGGTTTATTTAGGAACACTGATGTTCAGGTTCTATCTTCTATTTAAGAACAACCTGAACACAGAGGTGCCTGAGAGGCAGATGGGTAGTGGGGACACCATTATAAAACTATCATTATAGTCAGGTGCCTCCTGAAAATATTCTAAAAACTATTAGCGTTCTCACTCTTTCTGCTTGAGGCTGGAAACACTTGGCAGTCTTGTTCATCTTCAGAAATCTGCCAAGTTCAGTAAATTTAGTTCAGACATTTAAACAGCACAGGAGACTTATGAAGAAAAATGTTTGGCAGGGTTTGGATGTTACAGTTCATTCGCTGCAAACCTGTCAATTCTTTCTAATGGGGGAAAATGCTGCAAATATGAGAAATCCTCAAGATACTTCATCTTAGAAATTAATAATTTGAAAATTGTGTGCTGCCTCATTTAGAAAGTCAGGAGGTGGCATTGTCCAAATTGATCAAATACATCTAGCCTTTTTTTCTTTTCTTTTCTTTTTACATGAAAGAAGCCAGGGGTTTGATTGCAAGTGTAACATGCAGTTAGACCCTTAGAAAGCTAGCAGAGGGATGGTACATAAAATATTATTTCATATAGGACATAAAAGCTACCAATCATGAATTTGAAACTGGCGTTGTCATATATACATATACTTGGTGTCTTTGCTTAGCGGAACTGCTAATCATCAACTTGCCCTCTGTCTGCTACTATCCCACAGATCTATAGGTAAAGCACATCATACCTAAAGAATAATTACAGTAACCTTACAAATGATATGTTTGGCAACAAGTCACCAAACATAGCTTTGCTCAAACGTTCCTCCCCATTTTCAACACCTTTCTTTTCCTCCTGAGATAGCACTATCAAAAATAGCTGCATATGTATGTCGCTTTTTACTTCTTTAAAAACAGATGGAAAAAGAGGAAATCCCTGTGCCCTTGCTTCAGCACTACGTTAGAATTTGGTTCTAAGACCAGGAGGCACTGCATGGACCTATGGCAGAGGAACATGTGCCCCGCCTCTCTCCCCTGCCCTTCTAAGGGTAAATAGCCAAAAACTTCTGAAGGCCAAGAATAATACCTTGTCTACTTTGAGCAGGGAGACAGCATGAACTGCCAATTTAGAAAATGCTTAGGTGCAGAAACAAGCAATTTGCAGGATGGGGTTACAAGTGCATATGTTGATTGCCTATGCAAAGCAACATGTAGATATATTCCTTGTATAAGTATCTAGTAAAGATGGGTGAGACAACCAAGATAAAATGATACATGGGAAGAGCGGATAAGCGGGTGTAGAGATGCAGTCCTGCACATCCCAAACTTATTTTAACTACCTAGAATGACCACATAAACCCAACCTCCTACATGCAAAAAATGATATTCAAATGACAATGTGGACATTTTGGCAGTGGCTACCTAATGCTATTAACAAATGTCAGAAATTTGCACAGATACTGGAAAGGGAACATCTTCCCTTCCCTTCATGGATCTGTTATCTCCACCTACAAAAGCCTAACCTTTATTTAGAAATTTAACCTGATAGATTCCAATATTCCCCTTAAAAGGCTTACACAGATCTACAAAATAAAATTTACCACAGCACTAGCCAGTGACTTCTATACCCTTTAAAATGCATCAACTGCATAAATCGTATTTTTGAAAATTTAGCCCAATTTCTTCTGAAAAAAATCAAGTAATTGCTCATCTCCTGATTTGGTACTTGGCAACCTGGCACATAAATGTCAACTTTTTATTGGTATATTTTGCTTACTAATACAATATTTGGTGAATAGAATACTGTGCATGTGTGTGTGTGCACGCACATGCGCACGTGCGTGTTTACTGACATAGTTACAAGAACACCAATGAAAGACGGATGTGAAGTTTGCTTGGGCCAAAATATGTGACTCCTTGCTCACAATTGATTCATTTCATAGTTCAAGATCTGCTACTGGTATCCTTTGAAGAATTAATCTAACATACTTCCCTCAATGGTTCTAAATGACAATTAAAAATTTTGATTCTTAATGTATAGGAATGGTTGCCAGAGGCGTTTGGAAACAGCAGACTAAAAGTCCATGTATAAGAAGAGTACACTGGGGACCCTTGCTTGGCTAGTGCTTTCCCAAAGTAGTGTAAAAAAATGTCATGGGAACAAAGGTCTTCAAAAAACTGTCTAGTTCTACATTTTCAGAGTAAACAATTCTATTTGCAGTGTTGTTATTTCTAATATATTTTAACTAGTTTAGTGTGAAAAGATGCACAAAGCTTGGGATTCTAAATGTTTTTGGCTCCAAGTAAGAAGAGAGATTGAATTTTAATGGATACCCTCTTAAACAATCAGAACTTTCAGCAATAAAACCCTACTTCTGCTCCTTATATATAAGGAATGTCAAAAGTAGCGTCCAGAACCCATAACCTTGATTCAACTGGACTGGACATTATTATTTCCAGCCCTATTTAGCAAAACAACTGCTTTACTTATGCATATTTTGACAGGTGAAATCTTCCAACTCCAAGCATTCCTCAGCCAGAACAAATTAAATAAATTCAGCACTGCAGGTTGTGCTGGTCAAGGTGATCAGTCACACTTCCCTACAGGGGGCAAGGTCCCCTCTTTCTTGAAAAATGCAACAGGGGATTGCTTGAAAAGTCTTTTCGACTTCTCCAACCTGAACGAGGCTACTCAGCAGGTAACAATAATTTAATTCCAGGTGTTCTTCCAAACTCATTGTGGAAGTCAGGCTATACTGGCAGCTGTGACATGTACTTCAGTATAAGTACATGACATGTGTGGCCCTATTATTCTCAGTAGAGTTCTGACATGATGCCATGGGATTCTTCCTTGGAAGATGTGGGGATTTAGCTTCTATCTGAAGCCACTGGCCAAAATCATCTAGTGTTCTTATTATGTTCTCATGTTCTTAATGTTTGATAGGCTGATGACACCAAGCATGAATTCTGCATTCTCCTCAGATCTAGGAGCAGCAGCCACGTCCCACAGTGCTTGCCCAGCAGATGTTATGATCTGGGTTAGATTAAACTTAAGCAGAAACCCAGTAAGGCAAATATGTTCACAGCTAAGAGCTGCTGTGCTCTGAGTCTGAAGGATCTGCATGTCCTAAGTGGAATCACACAGAGTATTTCCTCAATCAATTTAAAAAAAAAAAAATTACATCTTTCCCACCATCTATTTTCAAGAAAGAAGGTGCTTATAGAAGTACCCCAAGATGATACAAGTAGGAAGCAGTCTGCATGTGAATAACCTATTCATGAGAAATTAATGTTTCAAGAAAGGAATCTATTTCATTGCAAGGTTGAATAGATTGCTCTGACATACTGTGCCGATAAGCCATGCCATACAGATGACAGAGTGATGAAGTCAAGAAAACAAAATATCACGAGAGATCATTTTTGTTTATATTTCTGGCCTGATGTGTACAGAAACTAACCAACAATCAGCATTATAAAAAATAAAAACGAAGTGATGCTAAATAATCTGTTCAGCCTTTTCTCACCTGCAACAAATTAGGCTTTCAATATGCAAAGCATCTTCCTTCAAGAAAAACAAATGATCATGATTTCATTTAATTGTAATTTAATGAGGCATAATTTATTTTTAAAGTGAAATACACCAGGTGTGTGGTAAGGGAACTGGCCCAGCCAGACAAACTGTAGCATTGCTATTTTTGAAAATTGCCTGAATTTAGTTGGAGATTGTTTTCACTTCTGCAAAGTATGTTTCTCCTACAGGGAGCAAGCAGGAGGAGAGAACCCACAACATTTGTAGATTTGCTGTAAAATTCCATTGGCCAAATTAGCTCATACCAGCTTCTAGGAATTTCCCATATTTTTGAAAAGCTAGGTAAATTCAATAGCCATAGTCATGCAACTGCAGAGCTCCAGTTATACATGCTATTATATATACCTACACTCATCAAAATATCAGCATACACAAGTACCAAAATACACAAATCTGAGTGCAGGATCAGCACCTAAATTTTTACTGTAAAGACCTAACCATGTAAATGAATTTTCATATATTAAATACTTGTTTACATTCATGAAAATGCCTCATTAATTTGCATCTATGAAATGCTTAATTGGAAAGGAATCTTCTTCAAATCTCAACAATAGTGCTCCAGAGAAGCCTTTTTTTAATGAAGGAAGACAAGAGAAAGTGTGTGTTACTTAACATAGGATTTGATTGTAAACACAGCTGTGCACAGCCAAGTTTAGGTACCATATCCAAAGCTCCATTTACAAGTGAGAGTTACTATCAGCTACTGCAACTTCTAAAATTGTACATGACATCAATAAACAGCCTTAAATAAACAAAAATAGGGGGAAATCTATACACACACAAACATAAACTTTTTCAGAGAAAATAGTTTTTCAACCTGAGAATTCTAAGATTAGTGGGGCTTTCTTTTAGCCATTTATGAGTCCACAGAAGCTTCTACAAATATCTTACAATTTGCAACTATTTCTACTGCTAGCTTTATTATTTATTTATTTAGGTTTAAATAAGCCTAATAACCAAGGTCAGGTTAACCAAGGACAGACTGTGAACAGTTAAAAGACTAAAATGCTGTAAGACAGTAAAAAAAAAATAAAAATACAACAGTAATATTTAAAATAATACAAGAGGCAACTGCAAACAAAATGGGAATACATAAAAAAGCCACAAAAATCTAGAGTTGGTCTCTAAAATGCCTGGGTGAACAGAAAGGTATTTGCCTTACATAAAAAATATAAAAACACAGGAGCTAGGAAAACCTCTTTGGAGAGAGCATTCCATAAGCAGTGCGCTACAAGTAAGAAGGTCCTCCCTTCTGTAACCACCCACCTTGCTCCCTTCGAT